GGGTGGCGGGGGGAGTTGGGGATGACTAATCGTGACTCCCACAGGTCATTGCTAAAGAACAGCTGAAGGTGAATGGAAAACAAGGAATAAATCCTCAAATCGATATAAACCAGCCCAAAGGGGCGGGGGGAGAGGTGAACTTCAGCCTTCAGCTCCCCGACGTGGCTGTGCATTCAGGCGGCCGGGGCTTGACTTTCCCTTTCTTGTGTCGGGCAGAGTCCTAGAGAAGAGGCAGAAGCCCGGGGACACCATCGAGCTGACGGAAGATGGAAAGCCCATGGAAATTCCCGAGAAGAAAGCCCCGTTGTGCGACTGTACCTGCTTCGGTCTGCCCCGGAGGTACATCATTGCCATCATGAGTGGACTGGGATTCTGCATTTCCTTCGGGATCCGATGTAACTTGGGAGTGGCCATCGTGGATATGGTCAATAACAGCACCATACACCGAGGAGGAAAAATTATTAAAGAGGTGGGAACCCTTCCCTCGTAAATCCCATGTCTTCCCAGTACAACTCCCAGGTCAAGCACCTCAGCGCAGGCGAGCCGGGCTCTGACGGTTCCGCAGCATTTTTCCCCGGCCCTTCGCCACTTCAGCACACGATGCTCCCCGGTCCCGGGGAGGGCGGACCCCTGGCACTGCCCGGCCCCGCCGCCGCCCTTTGTAGGACGGAAACCCCGTTCTTGAAGGAGAAGAAATTTCTCCCGATTATTCCTATTTTTCCTTTTCAGTTCCCAGCCCGAAGCTGTTTTGCGGTATTAATTAACGGACAGGTTTTTGTTTTCACTTCTTTTGCACACAAGCTTGAAAAACGCAGAGATCTCGTTAAAATAAATGTAAGGGATGGGGGAAGGAGGGAGTCGAATGAGCGACTGCGAGCGGATGCGCCGCGCTGTAACGAAGACGGGGAGGTTGTGCAGGAATGTTTAAAAACGCCAGGATGAAAGAATTTGCGTTGATAAAAGGCGTTAAATGATGAGACCGGTTTTAAAGCGTGTTATAGCCTGGAGAGAAAGAGGTGGATGCTAAATGCAGATGAGTGTTACCTATACAAGTGCGGAGACAAACCCAAACTCTCTGCACAGGCAAGAGGTGGGTGCCTACAGTCACGGCCGTGTGGGCAGGGAGGGCAGGGGACGCCTCCGTCTCCCCTTCCCAGCCCCCAACAGCCCAGGACTGTATTAGCAAGCCCGGAGACACGGCCTTGAGACGGTGCGGCAGCCGTCGGGGGTTCCCGCGGATCTCCGGGTCTGCGCTGTCCCTGCGCGGCCCCTGCCCCGGCCGAGGGGCTCAGGGCACACGGGGCTCTGGTCACTCATGAGCGACCCTGCCCCTCTCCTGTCCCAGAGAGGCACGGGCGGTGCTGGGTTTATCGCTCTTACTGAATTTGTTTTGCCGCCTGTTTATCTGGCGGGCAGCTGCGGGGTTTGTTGTGTCGGGTTAACGCAAAGCGAGCCGCCTCGGGCACCCGGCGTCCCGCGTCCTTGTCCCTGTGCCCTGGCCGCCAAGTGCCACGGCCGGCGTTAGAAACTCCCCCCTCGACTGCCCAGTATGAAGTTACTGCGGGTGAATGCTTTAATCTGGCACGATTACAGCTTTCCTCTTCTCTTTCTCTCCTTCTCTCCCGATCCCTTGCGCTGGAAGAAAGCGAAGTTTAATTGGGATCCTGAGACAGTTGGCATGATCCACGGCTCTTTTTTCTGGGGATACATAATCACCCAAATCCCCGGCGGGTATATTTCGTCCCGGCTGGCAGCTAACAGGTAATGACGATCTAAATAACCCCGGGGTCCTGTACGAGTTCGAGCGGGAGGCGGTGGGGGAGCGGCCCCGATCCCCCCACCCTACCCCGAGAGCCGGGGGCAGGGCAGGACGGCCGGACCCCCGCAGCCGGGGCTCCCCTGCAGCAACCCGCCCCCCCGCTTCAAAGGCAGCCGCGTTAAATAAGAAAGCAACACTTGTATGGAATGTGGAAAAGCGGATGTGATGGTGTCCTGATCCCCTGTCTTCAGACTGCCTTCTGGTTTTGCGGGGGTTATCTCGCGTTGGTTTGTTTTTCCTTTAAAAAGGCATTTAAGGAGGTTGTGGTAATGATATTCAAACAACCTGTGTTCAGAGGCAAATTCAAAGATTCCTTACTTCATCAAAGCTTGTGAGATTTTTTTTTTCCATGTTTAAATGATTTTTTTTTCAATGAAAAGGAAAAACCATCAGCACGAATTTTCCATTAACGCACAAATGAACTTAGAACGATCAAAAAACATGTTTCAATGAGACTTCCACAATGAAAAGAAAGTGCAGATGGTGTGGCGACTTAAGGACTCGTTTCTATGGTGTCTGGCAGTTTTTCAAGCACCCAGGGTGCGATTCTACCTGTTAATTAGATCCACTGAGTATTCAAGACCCATGAGGCTTTCACATCCATGCTTAATGCCATAGGCTCATCGTTGCAGAAGTAGCGAAGGTCCTAGTGTCACTCTTCCAAGCAATAACAAACTAAGTGCAAATGGCTACTAAAATCAGCAATATATACCTTTAACTCTTCTCAGGAGTGTGCAACATCAAAGGTAGGCCTGGGCAGGCAGAGAGGATTTGCCTGGGGAGCAAGCTTACTTGTATGTGCTTGAGAAAGGGGGAGGAGAGGGGGGAGCTGCGGCAAAAATGCTCTTTCCAAGGTAAATACCTTATAGACAAAGACCTACATTTAAAAAATCATGAGTATTTACTAATGGAGAGATGCTCTGTAACTGAGATAACCCTAACATCCCTCCTTTTAAAGCAAATAAAACAAGATACAGCATTTATTGAACTGAAGTATCCATTGCCGGTCTGTTTACAAGTGTCATCTAAATGATAATGGTTCGGAAATGTAAAAGGCTCTTTCGAATAACAATTAACAGCCAGTTAAAGGGTTCTTTGCCTTTTCTTCCTTCTTTTAGCGTTTTTGCATCTTTACACAGTCTGTAACTGTTCAGGATTAATTGGAGTTTTGCTTGAGTAAAGACTGCAGATTTTGACTTAGAGAATCAAAAATCTGTCTTCATTCACTCGAACAACGTCAGTAAAATCATTCGAATCAATCTGATTTGAAGTGGTACAAATACAAAGATTTGCAAGACAATGGCAGGGACATTCCCAGGAAAACTCAGTAGTGGAAACACACAATCTGGCAAATGTGAATCAAATTTTCCTCCCATTCACGTTTACATCTACAACAGTAAATGAAGACTAGTTTAAGTTACTAATCTGAGTGTATTTTAACTCAGCGATTTTCACAGGTTACAGGTTAGTTATTGCTATTGTTGAAGCCTCTGAGACAACTCCAACACAAAGCAAATGAGTATGTAAATCACAGATTTAATTAAGGAACTAGCTACGACATACTCGCCAGTAATTGCAAATAGCAAAATATGGCTAGTGGCTGTGATTTATACTTAGTTTGTAGATAAAAATGGCAGAGAACAGAGTGTTGAGTGGTTAGATGTAGCGGTTGGAAAAACAGGGTATTGAGGAGGTGAGAATACAAGTTAGCTCCTGAATGTTACAAAGAGATTTTGACATCTGTATGTTTAACTTGAAATGAATGGTGTGACTGTAGGGTAAAGCGGCACCCAAAATAGGATGCAAGCCTTGATGTCCACACCGTTTCCAAGAAACGGCATCAGAAAAAGTCAGAGTAGTGAGTACACAGCCCTAGATGCCTACAGCACCAACAGAATAGGAGTTACTATAAAAGTCCCTGCTGATTTACATGTCTCCTGCCGCAGCCACAACTGGTCTCTTCACACTGTGGTGGATGACACATAGTTTTGTTTTTACAAACCTCACTGAATATCTTTGTGACGTCAATGGTCTCCTTCACATTCAGAACAAGTCTGAATTTATACAGAAACACAAATTGCAGATATGTTCTACAAAAAAAAAAATAAGAGACTCTAGAATAGTATCACCATATCCAAAATGACTTGTGAGAAACTCAGTCTGGAGCTCAAGAAAAAGAGAGAT